AAATAAATCCTCTTCACTCAACAAAATTGCTCCATTCACTGAAGCTGAGTTTAATGTGTTGTGTTGAGGTCGGATATTAATGAAAATCATTGTGTAGGAAAATTACATACGTTTTGTGGGTTGCTGCTGTTGAAGCAGTCTTATGTAATGGAAATGCTCTGCACTGTGCAGTCTGCATGTTATACAGTTAAGGCATCATATAGCACACAAATGCAGCATTATTATTTATTTATTTAGACTTTTGTCTTTTGTGGTGCAGGAATACGAGGGCTTAATAATTAAATTATTAATTGTCAGCTATTCAAGTAAAATAAATGTTATGACAGCATTATTCAACATGATTTATGCCAAATTGTACCAAATAAACAAAAACTAAGCTTCTAGTTGATTTTCTTGGCTTCAAAACACTTAGAGTGACTTCACCGTTTCTGGCCTATCAGGAATCCCTGACATCAGCCGGGTGTTTGGAGAAATTCTCTTACCAAACATCCCTGTTCTGACCAACAGAGACCTTTTGTGTTAAGACGGCTACTTGTTGTTGATGTGTTTCATTTTCACTATCAGCAAGAGCTTGAAGTGGGGTGTTGTGGTAAATTTCTCGAACAGGTTGTGGGTCAGGAAGCTAACAGCCCTGAGAAGACTGAAACTGTGATGTTTTTTTTTTGCAAACAGGAAATCAATAGATTGCCTCTGTTCACAGCAGGACATGAGACTCAGCAGTCACAACGCTGGCCACCCTATCTCAAATCTGGGTCACACGGATAATGTGGAGTTTAATACTGTAAATGCATTTTACAGAATTCAGTAACATGCAATATCCCACGATTAACATTACAGTTTTACTGCTATTATTATTTTTTTCTTTTTTGAAAAGGGGAAGTCACTGCTTTTGTGAATGTAACTTTTTATAGAGTCAAGTTGTTCAAAATTACTTCCAGAAATAAAACTAATTGTATTACATTTGCATCTTCATTTTTAAGGAAAGCTGTGTTTATTTGAAAATGAAGAGATTAAATGGGGAATCACTGTTATGGAAAGTCCACCTCTTCCCACTCACTGATTCACCTTTTCCTTAGAGTTTCAGTTTGGTTTTTTGGTTTTTTGGAATGACGGTAACATTTTTGGTTTCACATAATAAAACATATCCTGTGAGGAAAAGGTTCTGATCAATGTGTTGCGATCCAAAGTTTTCATTCTGTCCGGTTGAGCAGTCCTCCAAGAAGATCTCAGCAGTTCATCACTGGGGCTTTTTAATGACCAAGTAATAATAGTTTTGAGCTTAGTTCAGCAGACAAGAGGATGAGGAGAGAGACGATGTCTTTCCTCATTAAATTGTGATCATGGTTCATTGCACTGTTCTTCATTAAAGCAGATGAAATAGCCATATAAATTTTCTTGTACATCAAAACAAAAAGCTTTATGTGCTTTATAAAACCCTCTTGTGTCACACCGTGGCCCATCCAGTCTCCATCACTCACCACCTACATGTCATAAAATAATATATACATATATGCTTTTCACCCATGAAAAACATAAGCTTCCCATTTCTACAGGATGTCTGAGGTGTGCACCTTTTTGGCACCCAGCATACATGGCTTTTTGAACAGTTCAGCTGATAAGACTCAAAACATTACCAAAAGGCACAAAACACTATTTTCAGAATTTAACAAGGTTACTATCAGTTGTTTTTGTGTGCATGTTAGCACTAATTTGACAATATTTTAAGAAATTGTGACTCTGAACTGTCAAGGATTTATTCCTCTTCTTAGGGGATTACTCAAGCATGCATGAAAGAATCAAGGTAACACTCCCAGTGTGTTTTTGATGAGGAAATAATTATGTAAACCTCAAAAAAGTAGATTTTACATGATTCTGACCTTTTAATAAAATTAACATTTAAGTTGTTAAACAAGATCCATCAGGCTTTACCTCAAATGGAAGCTAATGGCATAAATATTGAGGTATAAAAAAATGTTTTTATTATGCATCTCAAAGTGATGTAGGAAATCATGTCTGTGAACTTATTCTTTTACAGCTGGACAATTTTAACGCTGAAGAAGCTTGTGTAAAACAGAGTGTGTTCTACAATCATATAATTGTCCCAAACAATTAAACTGTGGCTGGTACAGACTAACTGCAAGCATGGGGTGACAGTGTTGTGCTAAGAATTCACAAATAAATTAAACAAACAATATATACATATAAATTGATATAATGTTTGTAAAATATGCTGTAATGGTGCCCAGGCAATTGTATGCAAACAGGCGTTTGTGCCTGGATACAAGTAAATCCGTGGTATCACTTTCATAGGTTGCATTGTTTTTGATTCGAGACTGAACAGAAAATGTTCAGTGAACAGCAGAATCTGGTTCACACAGCTGAAGCACTCTGCACTTCACTGGTCATTCAGCCTCAAATGGCAAAATCTGACAAGTGTTTACTGAAGCGTTTCTTTATGTTCACATTCTGCGGGCATTAAACTAAGTCTCACTGAACCTCCTGTCACATGATTCAGAGGTGCTGCAGAAATGCATCCCAGGAAACCTGAAAAGTATTGTGTGAAGAGTGTACAGTGAAGCCCCAAATTACTCAAACCTCTGGCAGGTGTAGCTTTAAAATAACCTTGAGTTTGACACTTTCAAGTAACTTCAACTTGGTGTGGAATTGCTTTTGTTTCAAAACCGATACTATCAGATTTTTTTTTTTTTTCATAGTTTGGGAGAAGCTTTTCTCATTAGTTGTTTCAATGAAAAAAATGCTGAATTTAAAAATGCCAGTGGTGTGAGTAATTTTAGGGTTAAATGTAAGTACATCAAGTCACTGCAGGGACATCTGAAACCCTTTATTTCAATTGTGCACTAATGCCTTCAGTGTGTTGACAGAATTTATTTTTCTCAGCGTGCGTTGAAATAAACTGCATTCAGAAATAAACTGCATTTAGACGTCTGGAAACAAAGTTAGGCAAGCGTCCCCCGCTCTGGTTCACCGCACTATAACAACATTTGCTCAGACTGCTTTGTAATTTAAACAAACAAAAAAAAAAAAAAACTGTTGGAAGGGGTGAACTTTCATTATCTAATTGTCAGCAGAACTGATGTGTTAGTTTACGACATGTGCTCTACGATGATTGATTTTTCCATCCATGGCTTGGATCATGTTCCTTACGATCTCCCAGGTGAGTGGGAGTTAGCGTAGGGCGGCCATATGGCTGCAGCCTTCCCCTGTCTGTATTGGCTGACCTCTATAGCTAACTCAAGCTGACAATTTTCACAGCTCAAGTATTTTCAGTTCTCCTGCCATAACTGCCTCTCCATATAAATGTTTGCCCCAATGTTGCCGTGTCGTTTTGTACAATAATTAACTTACCGAGTGTAAATGCCGCTTTCCCGCTTCCATAAAACATGTGAGTGTGTAAAGTGCACCGTCTGTGACACCTTTCAGTATAAATGATCATCCCTGCCTTTGCTCAAAGCTCACGCCTCTCACTCTGAACCCTAAACAACAAGATAAGATACCTCTCAGATTGTACCGGATCAAAGAGTTATCCTTATTTGTTTCATGAGTGTCTTAGAGTGACAAAGAAAATATTTGGCCTTGACCTTACAATAAGTTCAAAATTCATTGCAGCAAAACTGTCTCACAATGCAAATATGGAAAACCAGAAGCTTTAATTTAAGTGCATTTATTGAAAAGGGGATTAAAACATGTCATAAAATATTATATATATTTTTTCTTAGTAATCCAAAACTTTCTGTTTTTCTGAGGTATAAATGTGAACATATAAAAGTGACGCAGTGACTTCAGCATGATTATATTTTTAACTGAAACCCAATTTTTACCTTGGAAAGCAAAAAAAAAAAATAATAAAGCAGAAAAGAGAGACAACACCCCAAGAACACAAAAGATACAGAAACTGGACAGAGGAAGCTCACAACCAGAGGAAGACCTACTGCAAACAACCCTACTTTGTGTTGCCTTACAATATTCTTGTATTTGTATGTGAGGAATTTTTTGTGTGTGTTTCTTTTGCCTTTTGATGTTCACGTTTTGGTGTGGCCTCTGTTTTCCTGGTTCCGTCCTTCATTCTTGATTCTTTTTGTTATGTGAAGTCAATAATTACTCTCCTCTGTTCTTCTCAGCTCAGTGAGTCAGCTGTCAGGTCCTCGCGTTGTGCTGCCCGCTATGTTTCTCTCTTCCCTGAATGTGCAAATTTCTTAATTGTTTGTGTCATGAGGCAGAAGGAAACACCAAGGATTGGGCCACCTGCAATTCTATTAAACACAATGAACTTGAATAAAATCTCTCATATCAAAGATTGGACACAACTGAGCTACACTGGAAAAAGAACCGTCTCTAATTTACGGTGAGATGCCGGCAGATGTGGTTGCCACAAAATTAAATTCTGGTAATAAAGTAATACAGAAAGACGTTTTTATTTTTATTTTTTATTTTTACAGTGTATTCAGTGTAAGACACTGCCACAACAACTATTGATCATTCTATTTGAAATCTTTTCACACATATGAGCAACAAATAAGTCCACACCTCTATGTCCTATCAGTATTTAGCATGTTCCGCATGAAGACACATATCAGAGACCATTGCATGTGTTTGTGTCGAAAATGTCTTGCCAAGAACAAAAGGAATCTGAAAACTTCCAAGTTGATCCGTGTGAACTTTCAACCATTCTTTATATGTATTATGAAAGAACAGAAGTGTTTGCTCTTATAATCAGTTTTTCTGTTTCATCTCATCTGTCAAAAAAATTGCCAAATGAGTCACAGTTCCGTGCAAACTGTGCAACACTTGCACTTGTCGAGGCCCGTGGCAGAGAAATGTCCTCGGGGAGGGAGGTGATACTTTCTTTGTGATGATTCCACGGAAAGTTGCACAGAATTTTTTGAGAGATGAGATACAGAGCAATCCTCTGTCCAAGTCCCCATTTTTAATGAGTTACATGGAAAAGAAGCCGGTCGAACAGGCTCCGTGAAACGAAAACAGAGACAAAGGGAAACATTTTCTGGAGCTTCCCGTTTCACCGTCTCTCTTTCTCACTCCTAATGAAAAAAGAGGAAGAAAACACAGAGATAAAGAAAGAGGGGGACGAGAGAGAGCGAGAGAGAGGTGGGGGACAGCGCGCACTGCCGCCTGCACAGGAGCTGAATCTGTGCGCGCTTTCCTGCCAAAAAATGCGCAGGCAGCGGCGCCGTTAAAACGTGCTCTGTCAAACTGAAAGACGTCGGCTGACAAAACGCCCAGCGCCCTCTCGAAGAAACTGGAGCCAGTGGGAAGGATGCTGCGCTCAAGAGAAGCAGGTGTATCCAGCCAAGTGGAGGGGACGGAGCGGGAGCCGCCCGCTGGAGCCGCTGGACAAAAGCACCTGCTTCAGAGAAACAGCACGCAGTCTTTCCTGCTTCTTTCCCTTTCTTAATAGCCGGATTTCGTCTCTCCAGATGTACATCCCCCATTCAGAGTGGGGGATGAGGGCGCCATGAGACTGTCGGAGTCGGACGCACAGCTAATTTGGAGAAACACCTTAGAGGACAAGAGAAGAAAACAAAGACAGTGTGTGCGTGTTTGTTGACCACAGAGACCTGCTGAAATGCCCGGGACGGTCTCCTCGGCGCCGCTGCTCTACATAGGCATGGAGGTCCTGATAGCTGTCGCCTCCGTGGTCGGGAATGTGATGGTGGTTTGGGCGGTGAAAATTAACAAGTCCCTGCGAGACACCACGTTTTGCTTCATCGTCTCCCTGGCTGTGGCGGACATTGCGGTGGGAGCGCTGGTCATCCCCCTGGCCATCACGGTCAGCATCGGACTCAAGACTTACTTTTACAGCTGCCTGCTCGGGACGTGCACCATGCTGGTGCTGACGCAAAGTTCTATCCTGGCCCTGCTGGCCATCGCAATTGACCGCTACCTCAGGGTCAAGATCCCGACCAGGTAACGCAGGGAAAGGACGGGAGGAGGTCGGGTCAGGGTTCAAGCCTGATTGTTGTTTGCTGCAAGTGGGAAGGGATGATGGTGGTCGTTTCTTCGCGCAGAGGTCAGAGCTGCTACAGCTCTCTCTTCCTGGGGATCGATTTGCACGGGGATCGCGTTTCACTTCAGACTGCCGTGTTTCGCTCCACGTTTGGGTAGATTTAACTCGCCAGAGGATTCATGAGGACAACAGGGGCACGCTGGGCACGCAGTAGCCTGTGGTTTTCTGCTTGTCCCGTCTTAACAGGGCTTTGCGGAAATGCAGCCCACTGAACTCAGCAAGCATAACCCTCACCGGGGCTTAAGTTGGTTTTTATACGACAAACCAACACAAAGGCGCACAGTAATGTGAAGGTAAAGGAGAGCTGACTCATTATTGAACTAAAAATGATCAGAGAAATGGGTCATGCTTGGGTTCCAACTCCCAGTCAATACTTTGCAAACCAATCTTTTGTTACATTGCATCTACAAGTCTACATATCTTCATATCAAGTTTGTTTTTTTCTTGGCCTATTCGTCCTTGCCAAAAAGCTTTGAAGTTTTGAATCCATGTCCAGACATGGAGTACAATGCATCTCTGGCTTTGTGTTTGAGGTTGTTTGTCCTGCTAGATAGATCCTTGAGAGCTGCTGTCCTGCAGCCTTTACATTCATTCCTTCTGCAGCTGAATGCCTTGTTACCAGGCCTCTGCAGAGCTGAATGACTGCTGATGAGAGAATTCAGGCATTTGATTCAGGTGTGTTGGAAAAGAAAGGTATATAAAAGCTGCAGGGTGGTCATAAAGACTGGATGCTGCCACCTCTGTGCTGGAAGATCAGCCAGAGGTTTTTAAAACCACTTTTAAGTTTTGTTGATTGCCCACTGTTAGCTTTGCCTATCTTCCTAATAAACCTGGCCAGCTTCTGTGAAGCTGCCGTCATTGTGTGGACAATATGACCAGCGTGATGGGAAATATTCCCCTTTTTTGCCACAAATTGTTTATCCGATGTGGTCCAAAAGCTTACAGTTTAATTTTATCTGATCACAATTTTTTTCTTCCACTTATTTTCTGTTTTTTCTATTTAGTTTTTGATAAACTGCAAATGGAACTTCTTCTCCAGAGTTACCTTTGGCTTCTTAGCTGCTTCTATAATTAAAGTCTTTCTTTTCCTGCCAGACAATGTTGATTTCAGGTATTTCCCAGAACAGAAACATGTTTTCTTCTGTAGAGCCATCCATCATCCCAGCAACCTGCTACAGAAAAGCAACTTGATGCTGCAGTCACTGTGTGTGGTCGGGACGATGTGTTCAAGTTGGACATCCGTCTCTTTACAGGCTTAGAGTTTCGCCAGTTGTTTTATAGCCAAGTTCTGCTTTAAACATCTCCACAGCTTTATCCTTGACCCGACTGCTGTGTTCCTTCAACTTTATGTCGCTGATGTTTTCTAACAACACAGAACAGATTTACGCTGACAGACACTCATGCTCTGATTATTTTATTTACCAGGTGTCTTCCTTAAGAAATCAAAAACTGAACTTGAAACTGGATTTTATTCAGCAGTGTCAGAACGAAAGGGCTACATATATGTTGATGTGCACACCCTTAAACGTTTTTTCTACAAACTGCAGAAAAGTTCAAGGCTGTGAATTTCCTTGTAAGGTCTGGATGCATGTGATTTTAATGACAGAACTAGAGCAGTCCAGGATAATGACTAGGGGCTGATAAGACAGCCCAGTATCAACTAAATGTTGTAATTTATTCTTCCTTGTCACCACAGATAATATCTTGTGGCTCATTACGACACTTTCGGAAAGCCTTTAACCGTTGGCGTCTTATTGCTTTCAGCAGTCCAAAGTCCTTTTCATTGTGGTTCAAGTGAAATACATCTGCAATTTTCAGGGATGGTCAGCATCTTTCACACTTTCTAACAAAAGCGAAAACACTAATTCACAGATATATTCACAATCAATGGGCACATATAACATTTTTCGCAATATTTCCTTTTCAATTGTGCTGACGCTTGTAGCTTGTGACAGACAAGCCAGTTTCATTTTCCAAACTCTAGAAATTTGCTTAAAAAAAGCTTGAAAGAAAAAGAGTGAACTGGGCAGCCAAGCTTTCACCAATAACATACTAAAATCTTCAAACCATTTATGTCTTTTGCTCCATCAGAACAATGAAACAAGTGGTGCTTTTTGATGCTATTTTTCATCTCTAAGAAGCAAACAGACTGGTTCATGTGTCTCTGCATCTCAACACATATACCCCCTAATCAATACTAGACACAGAACATGGCACCAGTGACAGTCGATCTAAAATCCAAGGTCCGGTTTAGCTCCAGGCTCCCTTTTTAGCAAAGGTCAGCTTGAGATGATGCAAACATTTTCTCATCATACTCTGTAAATATGATCCAGTTACTACGCTGCATGCTTTCCAGCATCGAGATGGATCAGATAAATGTTTACATGTGTGCCTTTAGGCTGCATCTGTTTCATTTCTTTCTCTGCAGACAAGAGAGGAATAATAACATTTCAGAGACCCTGAATCTTTTACCTCAATCAGTCTCTCACACTTAATCCTTTACAGTAGATTATTTAGAAGATATAAATCTGAAGCGGAAATGTGAAGTCTGGTGGGCCAAAAAACGCATCTGCAAAATTAAATTACAAAGTTAAGAATCACATATGAAAAACAATATGGCTGCAGAGAATAAAGCGTGCTGATGTTACTCTCAGGAACGCTTGTCTAATTTGCCGTGCAATGAGCTGCAACCCATCAGCTTAGGGTTTAAAGTCTTCAAGTCAAGGACAGTAAAATAGAACTTATTCTGGTTGCACATAAAATAAAATAAAAAACATTTCAACAAATGTCAAATATGATGTTCAACCAGCATAAGAAGATAATATTAGTTTGCTAAGTTTAAAAAAACAAATACATCAACTGTTAGGGTTTGTGAAAGAAAACATGCATGCTCCAACAGTGACGACATTTTGACGTACTCCTGGTTTTTCCTGCAGGTACAAGCGGGTGGTGACGTCCCGGCGGGCAGCCCTGGCTGTGGTGATATGCTGGACGTTGGCGTTCATTGTGGGACTGACGCCCATGTTGGGGTGGAACAATCTGAAGCGCCTCCAGGAGAACGGCACGATTGGCCCAGACCTCATCGTCACCTGCCAGTTTGAGACCGTCATCAGTATGAAGTACATGGTTTATTTCAACTTCTTCGGCTGCGTCCTGCCGCCTCTGCTGTTCATGTTGGTCATATACGTGGAGATCTTTTACATGATCCACAAGCAGCTGAACAACAAGAAAATCACCTCCAGCTTCTCAGACCCCAACAAGTACTACGACAAAGAGTTGAATCTTGCCAAATCTCTTGTTCTGGTGTTTGTTCTGTTCGCTATCAGCTGGCTCCCTCTTCATATCATCAACTGCATCACATTCTTCTGCCCTCAGTGTGACAAGCCGATGGTCCTGCTCTACATTTCCATCCTGCTCACTCACGGCAACTCTGCTGTCAACCCAATCGTCTATGCTTTCCGTATCAAAAAGTTTCGCACTGCGTTTCAGAAAATATGGCAGCAGTACTTCTGCTGCAAGGAGACGCTGGCGTTGGACTTCCAGCATAGTGACAGGAAAGACACGCCCAATCTGGAGCCAAAACCGGCTGCGTCGCTTCAGCCTGCTCAACTGGGGGTCTTTAAATCGTATCCTTCGCTGGAGGGTCAGCTGCAGCTGCAGCCGTCTCCGCTGGAGCTCCAGGACGAGCAGAAGATTAAAACACCTCAGCAAACTTACAAACTTCCCCCTTTGGTCGAGCAGAGTGTAGCCTGAGTGAAGGAGAGAAGTGGATGGTTGAAGAAATAACTTCTTGTCCAATAGCGATGGCTCTCTCCTCATCTGAATGTAGTTTGAAGAGAACAGATCACAGCAAGGCGCCGCCAAGCTCTTGCGATTAGCAATGTGGGTCTGTGGAAGATTGTTCATCCTCAGGAAGAGCATACATGCTCAAAACAGTGCAGGCAGAGTACTGAGAAACCTGCAATGTCTATTTACATGCTTATCTTAGTAAGATACTGAGCTCATGTAGTTTTAACTGTTCTATTATAGTGAAGCAGTTTGTGTGAACATTAGAAAATGTGCAAAATAAGTTATTGTGGTTTGTCAAGTATCAGCATCTCTGTGTTACAACCTGCCTGAACATTTATACATCAGACAGAGCAGGGTAATCTTACTACTTTAATACTGTGTATGTTCCAACTGACTCTGGCTAAAATTATATATATGAATGTAATTGTGTAAATATAAGACAGCATTCACTTGTGAAAGCTCGACTAATCTTCAGGGTCTAAATCACACAATGGTGTGTGCAGGAAGCAGAATTAAGGGACAGAATCGTGTAATGAAAGTTAGTGTCTCTCCTCTGGAGCTCAGTCAGGCCTCAGGTGATCCACCTGCAGTTTTCCATTGCAGACGAGATGGACGGGGATATGAACAAGCACACAGAGGCTTTAAAATTTTAAAAGCTACATGCAGGGCGTTTGTAGCAGCTCACAGGGGAAAAACACAAGATGCTCTTAGATCTCATGTTTGTTCAGTCTCCACGTCACTAAGCTGCGAGTGAAGTTTTCTTTAGCTCCTTGTCATCGCGACATCATGACAGTTTACCATCACCAACTGTGGCTTTCATGGCCTTGTTCAAATGTTCAACCAAACACTGACTAAATTCTGAAATGTCAACCTGAAGATTGTGAGTTTAACCTGTAAGCTTATTGTTTTGCATCTTGCCCAACAGAGGCATCTTTGGATTCATAATTAAACTATGTTCAGTGCCTCTTAAACACAGGACGTAAAGCTGTTTTTGTCTACCCATTATTTTTATTTTATAATCTTGCTTGAAGGGTAGCTTAGAAAGGTTCTGTTGAAATGTTATAAATATTTAGCATCTTACCTGCTGTTGCTAAAGCTCATTTAGTTTAAATCCAGATCAGCTGTAACCTAACAGCCACTTCAAGGTGGCCAAAATGAACTTTTATTCCTTAAAAATAACTCCAGTTTAAAAAATGTTATAACAGTTAATGGGATGACTCTTTAAACTGTTGCTACATTTGTTATTGGGTGGTTTTGTACAGAACACAGATTATTATTAGTCCATGAAGTAGAGGTAGAAGGCCGTGCACCACAAAAGATTGTTCTACAAGAAAAACCTACTGAGAATGAGACACGTAAGGAATCCATGAATCACAAAAATAAAACCTGAACTGCTCTAATATTTGTACCTGCCATGTTCCTATGTGAAACATACTTAGAATGGAAAATAAAAAGTCGCTACCTAATGAAGAGGAAAAAGAAGCTAATGCAAAAATGACTAATACAGCATCCAGTTAAATAACTACAATGTTTTTCACTTTTCACATGTTTTTCATCAGCCAGTTGGTTTGACTTCACCATCCTGAAAAATCTATTTCCCTGTGTACATATTGATCAGTTTGTGGGTAAATAACCACTTAAATAAAAAAAATCACAAAAAAATTTATTTATGCTAAAAAAGTGGAGTTGTTTTAAGAATATTTCTTTGTCAAGGTCAGGATCTTTATCCATTTGTTGTACACACTTCTGTTTAAGAAGGATGTTATTTTCATTCCTTCTCACCCTTTTGAGAAGAAAAACATCAATGCAGTGCTCACAAATGAGCAATGTTAACACAGTTTGAGCTTGCCTTCGTAAAAACCGTGGTTGTACACTAAAGCTGATTAGCAACAGGAAATATGATTTGTTGGGAAGGTTATGCAAACCGGACTGTTTTCTATTCATTTACAGGGTAAATTATGTTAAACAGCAGCCTTGGAAGGCTGCAAATTGCTGTTGCTGGACACATTCATGAAAACACAAATTGTCTGGTTTTGCAGTTCATTACGTTCTCACAGGATCTGCAGCATTATGACGCATTTCAGCGACTGACTCCACTGTTTTCCGGGCTAGAAAACGAGAAGCATTTTTAGAAAAACAACATTTCAATTCTCATTGAAAGTCTCAGAAAAATAAATTTATTAAGGAGTCTGGACTTTCTTCTACAAAATAACTACAGTCACATCTGCACACGTTTCTGCTTAAACAAAGGGGATTTTCTGACCTCTTCTCCCCCAACAATAGAACAGAAAAAATAAAATTGTTGATACTAATAGGGTTGTTAAAGAAAATGAGCAAATTCCAAGTAAAATGCATGATATTAAATTATCAATATTTTTTTTTAAAAAAGGAAAGATAAGTTCATTAAGAGCCTTTGTGACTGGGCAGAAGGCCATAGTAAGATGTTGAATTCAATAAAGCATGCTCAATCATTCAGGCAGAACCATTTTATTAGGAGTCCAGAAGAACCCATATCTTAATTGTCCTGAAGCGCACAAGCACACACACAAGTTTCTGTGGATTTTAAAAGCAGTTTACTAACGCAAAGATTGATGTTAATACACCAGGGTTTATTATTATTATTATTTCAATACATGCTGCTGTAAAATGCCCCAAGACATGCAGTATGTTCTGGTGTAAATGTGCTTTTCTATCTGGCTTTTCAAAAATGTAGAGTCAGTACTTTTTATGCTGCAGTAACTGAGAATGCTGTTAAATTTAAATTTACATGACAGAAAAATGCAGTTTGTTTGAATGTATGGGTACATCTATTTAGTTCCTTTTCTTTAACGAAAGGTGGATGTTTCCTTTCTACCGTTCCCTCTTTATGAGTCATCACTTGAGTTGCAATCATCAACTTCAAGCCACTAATATCCCACTTTGCGCTGCACTTTGGTGCAGCAGATGACTGTCAGGATCCTCATCAACACAGCACAATAATGCAAAGAGTTTGTGTTATGTAACGCTGGAGCGGCGTCTCATTTTTTCCCATCACAGACTAAATTAATTCCTCTGATAAAGTGAAGACGTGATGCTTCAGGTAGATCACATAACCAAAGCAAACACTGTTCACTCAGTGCTGTGTTTCTGCTGCACTTTCTTCTCTCAAGCTGCCATCAGATTTGCTTCAGTCTCCTCACTCAGATTTAACACAAGAATATGCACAGAGGAAGATGTGGCACTTTTCTTATGCAACATTTGCCAACAAAAATCAATAAACAAATCTAATGCTTCATAAAGAGCAGAGAACTGATATTGCATTCTCAGGCTATTCTTGTTCTGGTAATAAAATGAGTTATCGAATATCAAGTAGGAAAGGATTTCTGGGAAGAACAACAGGAAAGCGGGAATATAAGAACGGAGGTGACCTTTCTCTAAAGCCACCAACTGTCTGTGGGGTTTATGTGGATTTTACCTGCAGGTTCTGAATGGGAATTATCCCAAATTCAATAATAACCCACTTTAAAACCAGCACAAATAATCAAACTCATAAGTTCATGTCAGTAAATTAAGCAAATCATCAATCAAAAATAATTTCAAAATTGTTGTTGAGATTGATAAGACACATTATTGAGATTGATAATGTGGTACCAGAGTCCAGTGTGAAATTTTCTTTTGTACAACTTTTGACACTATTCTAGTTCACTGAGATGAACCTTTAATAACCAGCTTCACTACACATGTAAGAAAAATGTTCAGAAAATGTGGAGAGGTTAGTGAATGTTACCAAATAGAGCACTGGGAATGTGTCGCCATTGTCAACCTTCTCTTTGGTTGGCCAGCATGTGTGCTGATCAATATATTCCTCTGGTCAGTTTGTTTCAATCATGTTTCATGGGAATAATGACATGCAGAGTTTCAAGCTTCTAAAGACTCCCTGAGGTTCAACGCTGCTGGAAGCTGAGGAGGAAATGCCTGGCATAATATTTATGTCACAGTGGGGAGTTTTGTTTTCGTTTTACATTAAAAATGGAGGAGCAGTGCGAGCTACCTGCTCTCATCATGCAGCCATAATGAATGAGCAAACATTGTGTGCTCATGTGCTTCTGTTGGTGCTCCACAGCAGCAATCACGGCTCCTGGTAAGAGCTGTAAACAAATGCAGCAGAGACTAAAAGACGTTTCAACTGCACTTTACATCTGATCCTGAAAAGCGTCGGATCATCTGTCACATGAAGTTAATTGCTAACATTGTTCTGCATGACTTCAAACTGAAACGATCAGTCAAAAAAATAACTTGATGTAGAATCGGGCCACCAGTTCTGCATCTGTGTCAAACTTATCTGCAGCGTGAAGAAGAATCAGAGCAGGAAACTCAACGCCAAGTTGGCATTACAGCTAACAAGAGGCTGCATCCGAACTGATATGTATATAAATAAACACAACCCATCTGAATTAGCAGGAGATGGAAAATTTGCACTCAGCTGAACTCAGCTTGTTAAACTGAAATGGTGCCCATAATTCATCTGAATGTCTGCAGTAGTTAAAAACTGTTAACTTAGTGATTGCTCTTCACTTCCTTAATGTGCAGCAAGATATGATTCGATACAAAATGCTTCAATAAAAAAGCATCACAAGCAAACTAATTTACAAAGTCATGTCTGTGCAAACGGTTATTTAAATAAGAGCCTTGCAAAAAGGAAACAAACGTTGATCTTTAAACTTTCCTAAATAGGGGTCTGTAGATTAATAACATATAATTAAAAGCTGAAGGATAGTTGTAAATTAGGTGGAATTGCTTTGTTATGTGAAGGATAAATAAACACGGTGGCACAATGTTTAATTTGCAAAGATCATTCTGCAGATCAGACTAAGCTGGAAAGATTTTTGGTTGCATAATTGTCTTCTTGTGTGAAGGAGAGATTTTCCTGAGGCAATGTGAGGCGTTCTCCGGCTCACTGATGCATCATCTGCTTGAACATGAATTCCCACGACCTCAGCTCCATGTCGAAGCCACCTCGGTCTGTGGGCTCCTGGTGGCAGAGTGCCACCTGCTGGTGAAGCTTGTTAAAGCCAAAGTGTTTCATTACTGCTAAGTGGGGTAGTCATTATTGAGCTGGCACGTTTCCAGTGCACAATCTTTTATTAAAAATATCTATATGGGAGCTCCAAAGATGAGCCTGGCTCTTATTCACAAACTAATTAACATCACGACAGGATGTGCAGGGCAAGAATAATGGAGCTGAAGAAAAGGATACAAAAATAAAAAATAAAAAGGCAGGTGTAGAAAATGGCACTCCTGTAGTGATATTCAAGCAGCTTCTGGTTATCACGCTGTGCTGTGAGTCCTCAGAAGAGAGGGACAGAAAATTACCCGTTCTGCAAAAACCCACTAGCTGTTGCTTTTTTCCACTTAGTTATTATAATTCGAATAACAACATGTAAACAAACCATGTATTTAAAAAAAACTAACAAAAATAAACTACTAAGAATATGACAAGTTTTTTTTGTGAAAATCACAAAAAAACCTCAACAGTGATTTGCTTTAAATTGCTTTTTTTTTTTTTTTTTTTTTTTTTTAGAAAACAAGCTGATTGCCCTTATTTTATTGTTAAAACAACAAGAATTCTTCACAATGCAATATTTCAATTTTTTTTTTTTTAAACAAAGTGTACAGACATATCCACACAGTCTGGTGTTCTCATTTTAAGTGAATTATACATCAAAAATCAGCTAATTAAGCCATCTTGGCCTTTGTAAAGAATTTATGTTCATAAACAAAAAAAAAACTCGTCTGGCCCAGCAGCAGGCGGTTGATCCAGACGGACACATTTTAGCATTGTGGGGTAGAATTTTTACTAACGGGAGGCAAAAAATGATATAATATAATATGTAACACATTAACTATATTAGCTCTTTAACTTCATAGTCAACAGGACCGGAAAATCCTGCAACTTTTACTTAAAAGCAGTCTAACTCACACCAAATGATTAAAATTGGCTGCATACAGGAAGTGTTTTCAAAGGAAGACTGAATCACAAGTCGTTCTTAATAATTTTTGTAACCAGTAAAAACAGAAGTCAGACCCACAATATTTATGACATCAGGTTCTTTTTTTTTTAATTAAAAGCGGTTCATGGCCAATCAATTTCAGGGTTTGGATATAAGAGGTGTTTACAGACCTTTCTCCTGCAAAAATCATGCTACTTTTTAATTTTATTAAAAAATAAATGTTTAGTTTATTGTCAAGCAATAAAAATCACAAGAAACTGATTCTAGTGGGCAGTTTTGTCTAAAAAAGTTTGGACACCACTGCTTTGAACTGCTTTGGTGAAAAGGCGGTAAATATCAATGATCTCTAATCTTTGATGGGCTTTTCTGCTCTCAAATGAAATTCTGCTGAGAGCCTCATAGGCTCCTGGCAAAAGCAAGTATTTTATTTATAGTATTTGCTCTCTGAACTGTGGCAGGAATATTCAAGAACTTGGATTCCTTAGGAATTCAGGGAAGAAGTTGCAACATGTGATCTGGAGTATCCTCAGTTTTCATCAGAAAATCTGTTTTGTTTATCTTGTTAGATTTCTGAGCAGGAGTTTGAAGCTTCCCTCTATCTTGCGGAAAATCTTTTAGACACAGTGCAAAAAAAAAAAAAAAAAATTCCCACATTAGAGCACCCATAATA